CCTGCACGCACCAGTAAGAACACATTCGGAACAGATCTCCTTGGTATCATCAGCCACCAAAACGCAGAAATTGTTTCACTTATCTTCGCCGGTCAGTACGAAGTTGCCACTTCTAAGAGTTAGCTCTACGTCAAAAATATAGTTGGTCAGATCACAGAGCGATCAGCATTTGCTATAGCCTGGGTTCCAGACCCATAGCACACTGGACACAAAAATGCTCACTTAAGATATTTTGTGTCCAGTGTGCCATGGGTCTGGAACCCAGGCTACATTTGCTACACCGAAATATGAAAAGGAAACAGTCGCCAAGCCGTTTTCCTGTCCGACGTAAACTTACGGCTTACTTGCTTCCACACATTAAAATTACTCTTGGAAGTCGCTACGAAGTGTTGGCCTGCTGAGGAACTAACAGTAGACGTATTTAAAGAAAGTAGTTCTTGATATAAACGTCCTTGCTTCAACCAAGGAGGCTAGATCAACACTTACCAATGAGTTCCATGCGGACTCATTCATTTCCGTGGCAGAAGCAGAGGTACAACAAAGAATATGGCTCTCTTTTCCTTGCGACATACATACTCTGATCAAGGAGGTTTAAAATCAATCTCCTTGCTCTGATAGAGTAGGTTCTATCACAGTATGCGGGTGGGAAGAGGGGAGAAAACATGTTTTATTTTATAGGCACTTTGCTTTTTGTACTTTACAATGCTATCCGCCTAAACTTTTGGTGACAGGTTCGCGACCGTTGCTGTGTTTTTGCATCGCTAGTTTTCCAGAAATAGATACAGCTAAGGGGTTGTCTAGCGGCAAATTAATCAGGTCCATTACACAAATGGGTCAAATTAAGACATTTGCATTCTTCTGAAAGGCTACATGGCTTCAAACGGCTTGCCGAAAAGTCCTTTGTTTTTTGTCCGATGTCCAAATTGATTGTTGTTTTCACTTTATTGGGGCTATCTAGTGCAAACACTTCAGACAATAGGACTTGAGCGATTTCCATGTGTAAGTTTCCGACTATTGCCTTCTTTCTTGTACTACCGCACCCATTTTTCCGACGTCTTGCAAGACAATAGGTTGATTTGAAGGCGCTCCGAATCGCAAGACTATATAGTCCCCATAAAAACATAACATTGAAATTAGATTATTTTATGAATGCACAGAGCAGTTGTTAGTTGCTATTGACAGATAGTCTGGACACGCATTTAGATTGGGAACGGTATACATACCGCTTCTTATCCAGCGGTTTCCGGGGACAGTGTCGGCTTTCTTATCGCTAAAATTCAATTAAGAAATTACCTGATAAGATGTTCATCTAGGATGAGTTTAAATGACGCGCTATTAAAAATTGACTTGCCACCATTATAGTCGTACGGGGCGATTAAAGATAGCAGAAAATGTGTATTGTATAGAAATCTAGTAGTTCTAGTCTTAATTCCCGTCCTTTGGATTGATTTAAGAATTGGTTTATTGATCGAAACTAGAAAAAAAACACATACTAAAACTACATTGCAGTCAGCTAATAAGGCTGGCTGAATTGCACGATCTTAAATTCAAAGCTGGGAAAAAAGAAAAGATATTTAAGCTATTAGCATTTGTCTAAATGAATGTTTACGTATGTGAGTACATTTGTATACTAGTACATTTTTCTTATAAGACCTATAGGACACAACGTACTATCTCTTCAACCAATGACAGTACACATATCATCTTGCTTCAGCTGAATGTTTGAGTGATATGAAAAACAGGCGGGTAGCTCGGTTTCGTCAAAGAGTAAGCGGAACATTGCGTACGGACTGTCGGAAGGGAAGAAAGGTTGTTACACCTACCCGCGAAATTTTGCCACGCGCTGGGGATTTGGTCGGGCTTCACACCCACGCCCACTCGCACGCACTGAAACCATTGACATGCCCGCCTGGCCTGAATGTCTCACAATCTTGCAGGGTTTCTATTGTTGTTCTTTTCTTTTGTAAGACGTCCTCCCCGGGGTTTTGCTTGTCTTCGGGGAGCCCCAAGACCAACAAAAATCAAAGAACGCGACCTGAATTGAGGACAGATGAAATTTGCAATGAAAAAGGGCGAGAACAGGTTAGACTAGTTCTAGAAGTCAAGAAGACCATGTCACTCGGGGTGGTCTATGGTATGTCATTTTGGTAGGTGGAGGTGGGTTGAATATTGTAGTTTATCGGGCAAGGGAGGGGCCAGCTGATTGTACACCGTATCGTTGAAGCTTTGCCAGGACGTTTTTCTTTGCGATGACGTATTGTCGGGCTACTTGCCAAGAAATCTCCGTGAACTAGCCTGGTAGAATGCCCCAGCTGTAGCTCCTGAAGACGAACTAGCAGATTTATGGCTTCAGCTTGATTTGTAGAATTTTGTATGTTTTGAAGTAGCCCTTTATGGTTGTAGACGCACCAAGGGCATAATTCCCCCCCCCCCCCCACGTGTAACTTCACTGAAAATACGTCCCAGTCGTGTAAAACGACACAAGATGACGTACTAGTATACAGCAAAAAAGACCCACACGTACTAGTATACAGCAAAAAAAAGACCCACACATCTACTTAGTAGCCTCCTGTGCAGGCCTCCGGGCGGGTGGGAGTTTTGATACTGCGTTTCGTAGAATTTTTCACGCGTTCTTTAATTTTGCCACGGCGGATACAAACCTTCTCTGTGCGGCTGGTTGTAGGATGACTGGCATGCAAAAGAACGCGTTACAAATTATACAAAACGCAGTATCAAAAACTCCCACCCGTCAGGATGCCTGCACAGGAGGATACACAACATATGCTTCAGGCTAAAGTTCAGCGTTGGTTTTGCAAGCGCAGATTCAAATGATGTCTCAGTACAGTGTGGAATTCAAAATGTTAAAAGGTTACAGCGTACATTTTACAACTTCCTAACTGTCCCCATTTGAACCTCTTTGCTGTCCCCAAACAAACGTGAAGACGTTTACTTCCCGAAAGCTTTTTGTCCTCCACACTTAAGTGTGGGCGGATGCTATTATTACGACGGTGCAGTCTTGTATTGGAGTGTTTGTTGTGGCCTTTCGTCTCATCACCTCAATTAAAGTTATAGTCATAACATGTTTGTTTCGCAACAAGTTTGTTCCGGGCAAGTTTTGCTCAGTGTGGGTGGGCAAAATAATGGCAAACTTGTATCCGGGAGACAGACAGGCTAATAGCTCATCCCTGCCTCAGATTTTGAGCATATTAAGCAAATCAGTACGAAAACTGGACGTGTACATGTACAGAAAATAAACAGCATGTGCTTCTACAGCATTAACCATTACCTCGAAGTTCGAACCAAGAATATTCTATTTTCATAACTTTTCTGATTTTTTAGTCTCATGTATTCAATTTTCTTAAAGTGAAGCTGGTTTCCTTGTTTTGGTCCATAAATGGATTCAAATGACGATCTCCAGTCGAATTCAAAGCTTTGAAGTACGCCTTTTCTTCTGTTAGCAACCGTTGATTTCTCAATTTCTTCGCTCATCTTTCAAACTGACCTTGAAGGGAAAATCCCAGCACAAAGCTCAGTTTCAAAAGAAAGGTTAAATCTTTGTAACACATGGATTACGGTTACACAGAGATCTGAGCGTGGTCAGCAGAAAAAGACCCACACAAGTTGATGACACGCACACATGTACACAGACATGTCCACACCCTGGGGCGGTAGGGACGACTTCTGCATGTGGTGACACGTACGCAGGGCACGAGATCGCCACGTTCCTATACTCCTGCGATGTTGACGTGTGCAGGTGAGCATTCAGGTGTCGTCAGGCTCCTTTGTTCGTCCGCACGCTTGGCATGACCGCCGTGTTTTGTCGTAAACAGTCTTACAAAGGAGTTAAAAGTTACTAAAACCGTCATGAAGCATCTTCGTCATTAAATCAAATGCCCCCGAGCATTTGGTAAAAAGCCTGTTGGAACATGCCTGTCGCGTTCTCCTTTTGAACTGACAGGTTGTTTTAGACAAATGTCCCGACAGTTGTGGCTTTTTCTGTGCGTGCAGAACATTTGACGAGCCACGAATGATAATGTATTGCAATTATATATAAGTATGACATGTTTAGAAAGGACACTGTTTTGGTTTTCTGCAAAACAACCGACCAGACGCTACGCGGCGCTTCTTTTAGGTTCCTATCATGGCACTGCTGCATTCTGCCGACGATCTGTAGTGGACTTGGGTCTAATGACCTACGAAGGAAGTAAAGTGAAAAGAAACCCTACAATGATGCTGAACGCATGTCGGGGCAACGTGAAACATTCACTGTAGTCCTTCAAAAGGAGTTGTTGTGACTCATGGTACAATAACTGCCGCATTTCCTGCTTATGTTTCCACTGAATTCCACAAAAACAAATAGTCTTTTATTATTGCCATTACACTACTGTGTATCCTTTCGCCGACCGACGTTATTAGCTGACTAATAACCATAATCATCATCACAGGTTTCAGCGCTGCGTCATGCGGTTGGATCGCGCTGCACCCCTAATTTAAAGTCCTCTGACACGCGCCACTTCCAGTTCACTACAGGCCATGACAACAACGATAAATATAGACTTTGTTATCAGGACTCTCAGATTGGGCACAACTTCCGCCATTATTATTCAGGTTCCCAAAAATTAATAGGTATAGTCGCTTTATACTTCTGCTTTCTTGTTGTGCTATTGTTAGAGGAAAAGGAAGTTCAGTTTGTCTCGTAAATTATCTGTGGCGTGAATTCTTCTATTGTAAGAGTTTTGTATGAGTCATTTACGGTTTCCTCTCCGGCTAGACCCAGACTTGAGTGTCATCCTGATTTAAGTTTACGTCACTTACGTTACAAGTGTTCACGGTGTATCTAACACGGGGATTTGGAGGACTGCCAAGATACCTGACAAGTGACAACAATCATTCATATATTTGCTTTCAAGTCGTCATCGATTTGTTACTCGACCACTTATACTATTACTAAAATTGAATAACCCAGGTACAAGTCACATGGAAACGACACACACGTATTTGATTTTCCAGCAATCTATTTTTTAATTCTCAAAATAGAAATAGTAAAACAATAGTTCTTCTCGCAATATCAAAATGCATACCGTCCGACGACATTATTGGGTCTCTGACAACAAAGTGGACCAAGCTATATATACAGAAAATGCAAAAAATATCTTCAGAATATGTACACAACTTTTCATAGTAGACACACGGAATGTTTAGTCTTTAGAGTCACAAGTCTTTTGTTTCGTGCTGTGGTCACCACGGTCTCCACATCTTGTCCATGTCGCTGGGGACTGGCGCGGCCTGGGCGGCGGGCACAGGTGACCGCTGCGCCGCCGGGCTCAGGCTGGGTACCGCGGTAATAAGTCCGGGCGCGGGGGTTACTGTTGGTCCAGTTGTCGACTGTACAAACGTGCTTGTTGTCGCTCCATGTGCGGAAGACTCGGGACGAGAGCTGCCGACCACTGTCGCGTTCGCGTACACAGGAATGACGTGGCTGGGCATTTGTCCACCTGGAAACGCCTGACTGGGCAGCAGGACGGCCACCGGCTCCCCGCTGGGAATCTGCCCCGGCACGACGGGGATCCCGCCGTACGCTGTTGTCGGGACGGCCGGGCCGGGCACGCGGAGCGGCGACGTCTGAGCCGTTGGGCTGGCCAGGCTGATGGCCCCGGCGACGGAGACGGGCGGCGCGGCGGCGGCCACCTGCACGTGTACGGGCTGCTGGACGGGCGCGAGGGTGTCCACGGTCTGGCAGCAGCTGGCGAGGTGGCCGAGCAGGCGCTGCTGTACCTGGCTGTCCACGCCGTCCGAGGTGGTAAGGAAGCGGGACACCTCCGTCATGCACTCCGAGTAGCCCGCCCGGTACTTGCTCAGGGCCACCGGGTCTCTGACGACGGCATCTGCAGGGGGAGACGGAAAGAACGTCGGGTCAGGCAAGGGGCACAGTTTGTCAACACGACCAAAGATCAGCACACACTTCTGGCACGCAAGTCACATGGCAAGGAGAAAAACACTTCAAAAAGATTTACCATGTGCGCGCCGACTAAAATAGCGTATTTGTAAATCGTGAAAAGGACGACGGAAATAAAGTTCTGCTTACCAGCAATCTGTTGCCTCTGCAGGTTACGCAGGTGCTTCACGGTCATTTCCAGAATGTCGGCCTTCTCCAGCTTAGAATGGCGAGAACTCTGTAAAAATAGACACAGGGAAGAGTCAAACATCAGCACGGTAGAGACATGTCTTTTGATACCCATGAATCAACTCTACTCTACTCTACCTACCTAACAATGGTTATTGTTGTAGACGTATGAACGAAGCATCCAAACGCGCACGGTGCGAAATATCAGATTCAGTACTTACGTCTTTTTTGAGGGCGTCCAAGATGAGGGTCTTGAGCTGATTCAGGCTGTCGTTGATTCTAGCCCGTCGTCTCTTCTCCATGATCGGCTTGGAAGACTGTGAACAAGACAAGAAACAAAGTTAGAACCAAACATAAGTATAAGCTGTAGTGACATACTAGTAAAGCAACGGTGTGAATGTGAGAAGGGGTCGGTGTCTCGCACGCGCCGGGCTCGGCACGCGTTCTACGCGCGACACACAGCCGACCCGACTACCGGGGGGTAGCCAGTCCCGGATTCAGGTCTCCCCCTCAGAAAATCCTCGACAAAGTCTTTCTCACCTTGCGACGTAGAGTCTCGCTAGTCTTGGCCTTCTCTGGTACTTTTTCTGTCGGCATCTTGGACATTAGATCCGTTCTTCCTTGCGAAACTGTGAGGAATTAGAAGAAGTGTCGAGCACGGCCGAAAGTTGTGTCGGAAGGGAGGGCGTCGTGTCCGAACGTCGCTGCGGCTTGCCAGAAGTGTGGGGGACAGATTACCGCACGGGGGATTTACGTCTGACCATCGGCCTCTTTTCCAACCTGTGGCCGGTCGCATTCCCTCACTGTAGACCAATCATACCCTGCTTATCAAAACACATGATTGCTAATCTTTACAAAACCACTCACCATTGGTCAGCAGTCACTCCGGTCTTCCACTTCTGTGCAGCGATTGGTCGGATTTAATTCAGGGCGGGTCTTTTGTTCTTACGTAGGCACTCCTGACAGTTGACATCTGCTGGCATGCGAGGTGAGGCAGGCTTATTATCCCGCTAAGCACGTGCCGAGGTTTTTGTCCGCAGCCGTCGGGAGTGTGGGAAAACCCCGCCCACAAGTTCTGCCTCCGCTCTACTGTAAACAAGTATTTCAAGTGTAAACAGAAGTTAGGCTGAGAGGCTAAATGTCTGGAGGCGTCGAAAGCTGAGAATCTCGGCAGATCTCTACACGATCTGTGCGGGCGGCATACTTCGGGCAGCATCAAAGGATTTCCCTGTCTGCAACTTGAAAAAAGGGAAAGATTTAGGGTCTGACCAATATGAAAAAAATATAAATCATTGCTCGTAACTTTTCCTACCTTTGAAGTCTTATCGTACGTGCTCATCGCCACCTCGTGCGCCGTGTTCTCGTCTGATTCGTTTGGCGGGAAAATGCGGACAGCTAGTAAGAAAAATGCAAATGTTACTACGAAGTAGATGGATGTAAGGATTCAGATAAGTCTTGAAAACTTTGTGAAGAAAGTGGTTAACAAGAAAGCCTCTGATGAATATGTTTGTTACTCAAATTGGTGTAGTTGTGTGAAACCGTGGAAAACATGCATTTCGACGTCGGTCGTCAACGCAGAACAAACCTGCCAGTGGCCATAACTACCTTACACGATAAGAGTAAGAGCTACGGAGTGTGGACACATACGAAGAATGTGTTTTCTTCACTCTCCCGCCTAAGCTGAGGTCCCATTTTGTACATCGTACCAAACGGAGACACCTGTTTGTGATCTGACACAGATTTGTGTGAGAACTGTGTGCCAAGTTCAGCCAGTCCTTCCTGCCAATATCGCAGTCCCCGTGTCTGCAGTGTATCAAACCTAACCTTGAAAACGTGTATGGCATAACGCCTTGCAGATTTCGCGAAGTCAGTGGAAATCCAGACGTGCAGGTGGATAAGAACTGCCAAGCCAGCGCGTCCTGAGTGAGTGACGGTGAAGGGAACACATTTCACCTGTCGGCAGGTGCAGGCTAGGTGAAGATTGTACTACATGGGTGGCACGTGTTAGGCAGAGGGTTGGGGGAATGTTAACACCGGACACGTGCCACGGGGCGCCCGCCACGGTACTCTCCCCGGATCAGGTTTCCTCCCCTCCCGCCCAGCCGTCGCGTGCGTCGCGGCGCGCTCCTGTGAGACGGGCCGGTGCGGTGGGTTAGGGAGAGAGTCGCGGGGGTACGTACAGACTCTGGCCGCCTGCCTAACCCGACAAACTGGCTCGTGGAGTTTTCCGGTTCAGCACCAGGTACTTATTACCGGCAGGGATTTACGGAGGATGAAACAGGGAACTCTATCTGCCGCCCAGAACCGGTAGCTCGATAGCAGGGAGCAGGAAGGAAGTTTAAGAAGGGCTGGGGTCTACAACTTAATCCCATACAGGTTCCGTACACAGTACACAGTGCACATGTGTGCGCTGACACAGGAGCCATGGAAGTGGGTTGTTGTCTGTCCGTCCACCTACAGCCTGTGTGCTTGCCGACGGCAAGACACAGAAGTTTGTGAGCACGATGCCTATGCGATGCTTCTATTTCAAGTATTTGTGTCGGTAGCTGTTGGTTTTACGAGGGCATTTAAAAAGTGTTCCATTTTGAGTTTGACTGACTGCCTAACTTTTTTCGACGATACATTTTCATCCTGCTATCAGCCTATACCTTTGTTTTGTTTTTCAAGTTTGACAGGTATATCCCCATCCATTGCCGCCATGTACCCATGTCTCGTTACCTCAGCACACTAAAGAAACAACCAGGCCTCTTCAAGTTGTTACAGTGGGTCTGCTTGATGGCCATTGAAGTCGGTGTGTGTACTGCTGTCGCGACACGGCCTGGAGTGGTCATCCTGTGACCAGTCAGGCACAGTTTAGACTCCGGGACAAACGCAGATGTGTATTCTCTGGCAGCTGGTTCAAATGTTTTGCCGTACTTGAACTTATGGTCGTCAACAGTAAATACTGATAAAGACGACTGGTTCACTTCCGTACACTGTAGTAAATACCGAACATTGTAGTGCGTTCACTCTCACAGGTGATGGTTTGTAGATAGGACTCTTCAGTAGACCACAGTTGTATCTTTCTATCTAAAAGAGCAGTAAAATATCTTTAAAAAGTCCTCATATTGACGTAGAGGACATTAATCACACAGAAAATATTCGTGATAAATCACAGGTCTGTGTTCCCTCAAATGTGTTCAGTTTTCAACAAACAACGGTGACCCATGGAAAGGTGGAAAACAGTTTGCATAGTACACACTATTAACAGGTGTTTGCGCAGGCGTCCCTGGATATTTAAAACATCTCACGTGGAACTTCGGCGTGCTCTTCGGTGTACAATGGGTTCTGTCGTGTAACAAACAGGAGGAAACATAGAAGGATTCTCACTGACCGAGAAAAGTGACTCAAAAGGGGTGCAGAATACACCCACTTCGTATGTCTGAAAACAACACACCTTCGTTGACAGGAAAAAAGGCGGGAAAATTGATTGTACAATTGTGCAGGAAAGAACAAAGTTCTTGTTTGCACAACGTTTATATCTATTTGCAGACTTTGTAAGGAAAGCGCGCCAATTGACTTTTCCGACTGACTTTTCTTGGATAGTTTGCTTTTCCCACACTCAGGGTGGGACCCTTGGCTGATCAGGGTCAAAGGTCAGGCAAACAGAAAAGTTGACTCAGCTTCGACGGGGGGGGGGGGGCTGACAGACGGACAGACACGCGACTGCTGACATAGCGATGGACTACCACTAAAACTATGTACAAGTTCAACATACAGAAGTCTTCAGACAGAGAAAAATGACCGTGACTTTACACGAGCCACGAAGCTAAGGAGCTGTTGTCCGTGCTTCACTGCTAGGTGGCGCTTTTTTGTGTGAAAGGAAGTACTAAGACTAAGAGTTATCGCTCTTCAAATAAGTGAAATTGTGAAAAATAGACTGTTGTTTCCACATATTTGTACACGTGGTGTGTGCCGTTAACCCCGAGGGTGGAAGAACGAAACGACGTGGTTATTTTTAGGACGACACCTGCGTTTCGCGCTTCGTGCGTATGCCTCCGGCGTCGTCATGACGACTGTGTCCGGGCAACGCAGACGAGAATGGTGCGGCGTGCTATGTATTTGGTCTCCCTTTAAACATGGCTATACACAGGTGCAGGCGTGTTTGTACATGTGTTCTTCTTTATAGTCGTGACCTGGCGAATGTTTAGAAGGGTTGGGTCAGAAAATGTCAAATCATTGACTGTTTCCAAAGCACAACACAGCCAAAAACTTCTACATTTTTTACTTCAACATCAAAAATTCATACATAGGTCACAAACATAACTTCAATCTAGTCTTAACGTAAAACGACCAGTAAGTTCACGTACATGTACATATGCCATCGAACGTAGTACGTAGCGCAATGTTACAAATGTTCAAGCTCAAATGTTATAGCGACCATTGTCTCTAAGTCTCGATAAAACCCTTTTGAAGGTAAGACAGAAATAGATGTTGCCCCCATTTGGTTTGAAGGGTCTGCTTTCATGTTACTGAGTTACATGTGAGTATACTTTTCAAGAATGTGTACTGCGGACAGAAACAATACGTAACGTACGTAACGTAACTTGGCTTTTCTCCTCAGTAAAATAAAAAAAAGCTATTCATCAATCATAATGTTCGATATCTCGAACAAGAAAAGAAGAATTATTGAATCCAACAGGTGGTTGAATGTTGTGTCCGAGTCAGGACGTTAAGTTAACTGTCCACTGTTAGCGATCAGAACCCTGGCGGTAGTCGCTCCGCTCGGCGTCCCGGCGGCTTCTATCTTCTCCACAACGTCCTGGACGGAAACAGGGAAACAAAACGTTAGGAAAGAAGTCCTCTTACAATATACTTAATATACTTCATGTATACTAGTACTTAGCTTTAAGAATCCCATCACAATATGAAGCAATATATGAAGCAACATAATTTGGCATTAGCATATTCAATTCTTAAAACTGCAATGTTAATGTCTCAAAACTGCAAACAGTCATATTATTCACCGACGTTATCCCCGTTATTTATCCAGTAGTAGAGCTTGATTTTCTTTGAATATTGTTTACCTGTATGTAAAACCTTCGATCATCAACTTATTCACCTTCATACATTTGCACAAGAAATAAGTCATCAGTCGGGAGATATTTTCTCTTCAAACTGTTTGCAGTTGGAAAAGTCAATGGACGTTGAAATAGTTTGTGGGCTCTAAAAGACTTTTAAAGAGTGTATGCCCCGTAGGTTTGTATGGCTTGCATTTTAGTCACTAGTTCCAGACCAGAAAAATAACCAGAAGAGCTCAGAAACACAGGACTTACATATCCCTGGATGACCTTGCCGAAGACGACGTGTCTTCCGTCCAGCCATGGCGTCTTCTCCACCGTGATGAAGAACTGAGACCCGTTAGTGTCCGGTCCGGCGTTCGCCATGCTCAGGATGCCCGGGCCCGTGTGGTTCAGCTTAAAGTTCTCGTCGGGAAAGTCTCCTCCATAGATGCTCTCCCCTGAAAAATGTTTCAAAAATGTATTTAAACCAGAAAGGTAACATTTGCAAAGCAAGTGCATAATGTTTACCCTCGCATATGGTCTGCTCTGTTAATTCTTACTCAAACACATTCGTGTATATGGTCAAACAGCACTCTAAATCCCTCCTGCTATGAAATTGCAACATGATGCAACCCAACACTAGTTACCATGTTGACAGATGTCTGGTTCAGGTCATTGACCTTGTGTTCTTGGAAAAGAGGAAACTGAGCAAAAACAATATGTTTTCCTTCTGTAAACATAACCATAAGCAGAGCGATTTTTTTATCTCAAATGTACTGTAATGGCTGGAATTAATATTCGATAAAAAAATCGCACATACAATCTCTAAGGAATGATTCCAATCACATCTACCTCCCGAGCCGTTGTTGAATTGAATGTCGCCCCCTTGTACCATGAAGCCTGGGATGCACCGGTGAAACAGCACCCCTTTGTAGTGTAATGGTTCGCCCCATGTGCCTCGGCCCTAGAAAGCAGAAAAAAAGCAATCTAATTTAGCAAGATAGGGAGACCAAGCAGGGTAGTTTGTCCACTATAGAGTTCATTTGTTCGCAGAATGAAACCCTAACATTGAGGCCACACCCCTGGTCAGTTGGAATCTCTTTTGGCCGAATTCTACTATGATCCTAACACCCTTAGGAAGGCCTGGTGGAGGCCAGGTTCTTCGCATGTTCTGGACATTCATGATTCTGACATAGCCAACTCAATATTGGTCTATCCGCTCTTCTTTTGACTTATTTTTTTTTCAGAACAACTTTTTAGAGTACGTTAGTATTCCAAACATGAGAAACTCTTACCTTTTCACCCGTACAGAGAGCTCGGAAGTTTTCGGCAGTCTTCGGTACGACATCGGCGCGCAGTTCGACGACGATTCGTCCTGCCGAACGTCCTTCGATGGTGATGTCAAAAAACACCTGCAGACAAGACAAACTCTTCTCTTCAGACATAGCAAGGACATTGTGACCTTGGACATAGGGAGCTTACGAAGTGTTTCATTCGTCGCCAAATCTTTTCAACAATGGACTTGGAAACTGATAAGGATATGCTCATTGGTTGTTTTCTGAATACTGAATGACAGCACTGTACTTCTGTACACCCACACTCATATTACTGGTACGGTTTATAACTGTAACTTTGCCTTCGTGAAATTCCAGCTCAGTGATATTTCATTACAGTATCATCCGCGTAATCATTAACTTTCTCGAGCTTGCGGTCAGTGACCCTAAGTTGTCAAGTATCAAAAAGTACATCCAAGGTCAAAACAAGACTAGGCACAATATGGGTGTTCATAAGGAAGGTTGTAATTGCGTTGTTGGGTTCGTTAGGGGTAAACATGTAGCTCGAATTCAAATGAGCTCATCTGTGTAAGACTGTGTTGGTAGAACCCATTGTTATAGAGTTCAAGCTTGTTCCAACAGAAAGAAATTTATGGTGAATTATTTCTTTGTGTTGGAACAAGCTGGCTTGAACTCTATAACTATGTAGCTCGAATCCTTACCGTTGGGTTGGATTTTTTCAGTCCGAAATGGAATCCAGCGACCAGAGCGACACCAACACAGATCACCAGTATCGACACGACTAGTACAAAGGTCACCGTCCGGGAGCACAGGCAGGTCTTCCGTCCCTTCTTGTCCTCGTTCCCGCCGGCCATATTGGCTTTGCTGCTCATATCTCCCTTCCTGGGTTCGTCCGCCATCTTGGTTTTTCTCTTATCTACCACAACAAGACAAATTTACTTTTGAGGCAGACTGGTCCGTGGTTAATGATATGCGACAGTGAATATGTTACCTATTGTAGACTGGACTAAAGAACCGCCAATCACACATCAGGTGGGAGAGGGAAAACAGTGTGAAGTTCTCCTTCACACGGTCTATGCTAAGCCTAAGACTATCCTTTGTGGATACTTTTGCATATTATATATACAGTTACTTATACTAGATGTGATTTAAGTATAGGTCTCAAAGTTTTCCAACAAACCCCAAATTAAGTCACAGCGGTTGCTGGGCTAAAGGTGTGTTACCTTGGAACTTACTACAATCAGATTTCACTGAATTCGATTCATATAATCTTTCAGGTCCAAAAGAAATATGCATAAGTTTGTCCATGGAAGATGATGACAAAAGAGTGTTTGAGCCATAATTTCGAAACAGCCCAAGGCCGGTGCACGCGTTTTTTATATATTTTTCCATGCGTTCAAACATCAACAAAGCACAAAACCATCGACATTCTCTCTCATAACGAAGCAATTCACACGAAGGACGTTGCTAATACTTCTAACTACCAGCCCAGCTTTTTGAAGACTTTCTAATAGCAAACAACAAAAGTATAAAACCATCGACATTCTCTCTCATAACGAAGCAATTTACACGAAGGACGTACCTAATACTTAACCAGCCCAGTTTTCTGTAGACTTTCCAACAGCAACAATGATGTTCAATAGACGAAATCCGCGCGGTAATTATGAGTCCCTTTATTCGTGGCTTACAGAGAATCCCCGACTGAAGGCCACGGCACGAGACCTGACTAGTAATTACTTTAATTGAACCCCTGGACATCTGTTGGCTTTTTAGGGGAGTAATTAAACTGAACCCGGAAAACTTGTGATGTCGGCAGTTGTATGCGTTGTTCAATATGAGATTAAAGTGGCAATATTGTCACACATTGTATCTAAACTTGGCCGTCAAACGAGCACGTAACACAACTGTCCCCCAAAATTGTACTACAACTGGATAAATGGGACAGTTCGTTTGACCTACTTTGGTCCATTGTGTGTTTCAGTCCATTTTCTATTCTGTTAAAACCCTCTCTGAGAACGAAGGAATCCCTCTGCCATGCTTTTGAAGCTATAGTACCTGATTTTGCAAAGCGTCGAAAATCGTTCACTCCAAGCAGAGGTTTGGGTTTTGGCTTATTTTGGCGTGTTTTTAGCCTTTGTTATCGGGCTTTCGTTCTTGCACTCGTATCTTTTTTTAAGCTAACTCCAAAAAAAGATACCAAAAAAGAAAGCCAATTAAAAATGCATAAAACACGTCAAAATAAGCCAAAACCCAAACCTCTGCTTGGAGAGTGCGAAAATCGCACACTTTATCATTTATACAACATTTCAAGAATCGTGAAAGCCTAGTATGCTTTATTCTCAGGTAGTGCTCTACAATATATTTTAACAAATCTTACATCTATGTAGGAATATGCAAAAACTGGACAAGGACGTTCCAAAACACATTCTATAACCGGGTACTTCTTGGCGCATGGAGTACGTTTTTCCAAGGACATTATACACAGAATAATGTCCTTGGTTTTTCCAAGCTACATGTATTTTGGCGAGAACAATCCTCCCTAGTTTGACACTTGATGAATCCATCAACTGTCCACCGTAACCATTTCCCTAACAGTGGAAACCACGGGATTACGATCCGCTCCTCCCTAATACAAATCTCGTCGTTAGATTTACATAATTCTAACACGAAATCGAATGGTTTATCATTAAATTGCAAAATCCCATACACGAAAACTTCTCACTCTCCCCAATGTAAGCCGCGACTAAAGCCTACAACCCAGCAGGGAACAGCTTACCCACGGCACCATTCATAAAGAATGGGCCGTGGTCTTGTGAATGTCGCTATTCGTTTTAATTGGGAGAAAATTGATCTGTAAAGGCTTACCTGGGAGTTTTAATGGGCTAAGCTAACGTTTTAATTGAGTCTTTATAGAAACCCACCGCTGTAAACAATTGGATTATTTCAGAGAACCTAGTCCGACAAATGTTCACACGAATCTTTTGTGGATAGGAGCACGTCGGTTTGATTGGAACAATGAATTGTTTTCTTCTTCTATTAGCGCGATTTTGTTCTGCATGTGGACTTTTATGAAATAGCAGTAAGTGTGAATCATTGGATTATATCTGAATCCCTCCCACTACAAATCCGACCATGTTCTGTGAATAGACCACATTGATATAATTGGCTGCAAATGGATTGGATCACACTTAAGGCTTGGTTATCAAGTTGTTATGACGATTTGGTTGTCGCTTTATGAAAATGCAGGGTGTTTCTTATAGGATTATTCACCATCTCTTGTCTACCTTTGAAAAAACATCCATACTTAGCTGGGAATTGACACATTTCTAGAACTTAAACCGCTTTTTTATTTATTTCTAAATATTTCTTCAGGATTACGATGCTTTCGCCTTGTGCTCGCCCGTGAAATTTACAGTTGAAGAAATAGTTAGTTTTTCATTTAAACAGACCATATGGACAGACTTAAAGACAATTTTGAAAAATTAAAAAAAAAAGCTATTTGTGCAGTGAAAATGGATAACATACATTTTTTTACGTCGATAATGGTAATACTGTCTTCATTCTTCTACCTCTTCCGGACACCCTTAAGCTCTGATAAAGTAGAAACTGGCCAGACAGGGTGTCAGAGGAGTTAGTCCACCCCAGAGTGACAAGAGGCCCTCCACATCACGACTCTTCTGGCAAGTCGTTAATCCTATATTTGACCACTCCATGTGTACGTTTTTCAGTCACTGGAGGGGTCTGACAGAGGGTCCGTACTCGGAAGCGACGGCGTCAGCTTGGGCAATAATTATTTAATCCTGCTGCTGCCTTGGATAATCGCCGGGGGCAGCCGGAAGAGATTAGGTATTATTTCAGACAAATTCAGGCTGTCTTCCGTGCTTTGTTTTACAAATTATTCGTCACCACAGATCACAATTCACACAGTCAACCTTTCACAGTTAAACCTCTTTGCGTTTTGTACAGCTATATTTGGTATATGTCTATGTGCTAGTATACACCAGAACATCGTCCAAAGGGAAGTCGATCTATTTTCCCCAGAACTTCATTGACACACACAGGCTAGATATATATAGAGGTACTCTCGAAGAAGCAGAGATTGATGGGGGGGGGGGATCGTTTCTTTGTCGCTACACCACCTTGGGCCGTCCATGGACCCTCTCTGGTCAATGGATACTGATGGCCAATTTGATACTGTCTTTTTGCCACCCTAGGATCTGCTTGGAGATTGATATAAAGAGACAAACAAAAATACAGCGACATCCACTTATGTGAACATTAGCGGAGTGACAAGCACGTCTTTGCGCAAACCTTGTACGCAGGACGTCTAGCCAGGGATTTAGGGCCAACACTACCCCCCATTTCATGCATAATTGCATTTCTTTGAGCTCGCACGGCGTTGGTCTTGCCGTCGCTGAGCGCTCCAAAGTGTGCCACTTGTACCAACAAACACGCATTAGCTGTAATAATAAACGCCACTACGCTCCACTTAGTGGACCATTTTGGGGGCACTTTCCACAAGAAACATTTGTACTACAAACTTTTGCGAGGTTTAACATAATTTCTGGGATACAAACAAAGCTGAGAGAGCTGCAGGTTGGCAGTTTGTCTGGGACGTAAGGCGCGACCTGTGTTGGTACGCGCTTCACGTGAAGAGCTAGCTGGTAGGTTTAGCAGAATAAGGCAGCCAGTGTTCTGGGTATTACTGTAGTAAAGATGGCGATGTAGCAGTTCTACTTCTAGCTACAAACTTGACAATGGGGAGATAAAATAGTTGTAGTAAATTGTCAATCCTCTTTGAAACAAAATTCGCTCAACTACGAATCCTATTATCAAGACCAGCGATTAAAGAAAAAGGAACGAACAAAACGAAAAATCGCATAAGCTGATGGAAAGGTCAAAGTAACTACAGCATATATTTTAAAGCTTTGAGAGGCTAAGTATCTAAGAAATAACATATATAGGTACCTGATTGTCACAGCTGCATGAGAATTGCCCCAGAATTCCATTTCAACTCCACACAAGAATGGTGTATGCGATCATGGAAGATCAGGTTCAAATTATTATCGTCTGTACAGTCTGATGCAAACCGATCCGCAGAGTTTCCTTCCATCGCCGAGTGCTTCCTGTCTCACAGGACACATGCCGGAATCAGATAGACACTATCTGGCGTTGAAAGCTGGCAATTTCAGGGCATGCTCGTTGTTTTAATTCGTATGATATACAGCTGCGGACGGTTTGGGTGCGTTGCAAAATGTGGCAGCTAAGCCGGAATCACCAGAATACAAAAGAGCACATCTGCGAAAATGGTTTAAAATCAACCCAAACTGCAAGTAATAAAAGGCATTGACGTAAGGAGTTGAAAAGAACTGATAGTAGTACCAAGGACGTTTAAAAAACCTTGGTAGTACCAAGTTATCCTGTAGGGAAGACCCTAATCATACGATGAGGCCTATGACTTTGTAAGCATGTGTCACTGACCCCTGCACCTGTTCAAGTCCCATTGTTGCCATAATTAAGGGTTCAGCAAACGTCATATCACTCAACACCTAAAGCCATGCTCCTCTCACCTCGGGCGATATCAAAAGGACAACCCAATAATATCTTTATCCACTTAATATCAGCAATATACTGGGTTTATCCCAATACAGTATATAATAGCACAGACCTCAGAAACTGATTGTCAGGCTTACATGAAATATTACACTTCAAACACTTCGGTAGCTTTATCTTATTGATGATAAGGAACTGTGGGTCAAGGTCATTTTATTTCCGACACACGCGCCTTGGCGGTAGATCTCAGATGTTTCCACAAGATTCGTTCCGCTGGACGATTCCATTCACGCGAAGGGACGCGCATATGAGGGGATGAAGGGACACAATGACGGGGAAATCCTAGACATAACTACGGACTTGGCCCAATGCGGATACAAGCTTGCGACAACAATCCTTTTCTGTCCTTCATCTACTGGGGTTTAGAGTTCCTACAAAGGACACGGCTTATTGTAACACCCACAACACCCTGGCAATATAGAAGTCATTTTCAAGTTTGGAATCCTTTAGATTCTTGGTACATTGTACCTTTATGCTGAGGTGTCTGTAAGAATGTTAGCGCGTCCCCTCCACAATGCCCGAGCTTATGCCTACAGACTAAGTCACTTCCTGTATACATTGAAGAGGACTTTGATAACAAATGTAGGTTTGTAGTTTCTACTCACAAAATGTAACGACAGGTGGCCACGCACTAAAGTTTGTTACGTACCATGAGTACTCGCCTTTTGTCCGCAGGGTACAACAATAAAGCAGACTTATGTAATAAGCAGTTCCCACGGGTTTAAGGGGCCAAACTGGATTTACAAAATTCCCAGCCCCATTGTAAGTACAACTATAAGGAAATACCTTCGCTCCTTGGTAAGAAGTTCTTTCAGTAGGTGATTCAGTGGGCTGTGTTCGAACAGCCACGCTCCTGTCTTCAGGCGAAGTTCTGCGTATCCCAAAGCTTGTAGGAAAGGCAATATTGCAGCGCGCATTGTAACAATAAACCCGTTATGTCTACTATCTTACCTCACTTAATAGATATTCTTTCTTTCTTCACCTTTACTAAGTCTTTTGCTTTTGCTTTAAATAATTGTAGTTAACATATAATCAGAGAAGATCCCCAAATAAGCTTGTGCGTCCATGATCAAAAACCATAATACGTTTTATTGACTTGTGAGTGGATAGATGTGTAAGA